CGGCCGATTCATTACGCAAAACGCACACGGCGGACCATTATCTTTTTTCTCCACTGCGAGAGGCGCGGCGTGCGGGAGTAGCGCCGGGGAAAAAGTGCACAGAAACAGAAATGCATGGAAAGGACGAGGGGAAAAAAGGAAGGAAAAAGGAGAGGAAGCGGACGATCATCCGGTAGCAGTCGATTTCCATGCGCGTTAACGGTTCGCGGACGGCAGTTGGTACTCGAGAGAAAGAGTGAGACGAAGAGGGAAAGAGAGAGAGAGAGACGGGCTACGCGGACGCATTACCGCGAGCTCCGACGTATATTTAGGCCCCGATTATTTATGATTACGATTATCCCGGACGGCTTTCGAGCGCTTTATTGAATGTTTAGCATGTGCCGGCCACGCTAATTCTGAGCAGTACGTTTATAGCACGTGGGGGTGGGGGTGGAGAGAGATAGAAGTGGGGGGGTGTGGGCATCATCCTCTCCTATGTGCGCTCCTTAGACGAGTTTTCGCTCTGTCGCTAATTCGACCCGTTCGATCAAATTACTTCGGCCGGCGAAACAGCCCTCCGCCGCCGCCGCCGTTTTCGCTCCTTCGCCCTCCGTTTCTTTTTACTCTTTCGACGCCGCTCTTCCCGTTCGACTAATGATCGTCGTTAATCCCCCCTTCTTAGCCCTTCCAAACCCATTTCGCCGCGGAAAATATCTTGTTCGCGATTCTATATGATAATCATTTCCGCCGCGAATTGAGCGCGACCCGAAGGATTGATGTCGGCTGGGATGGGGTCGGCATCAAGAGACCCGCCGGTGGATGTCGTTAACTAATTATAGTTGCGCCCGCCAAATGGTCGCCTATGCCGCGAGTACACTAATGAACACTTGAGTAAACACATTTTACCGTTTTCTCTTCGCAGAGCTATCTTGGAGCGGCATTGAGTCGTCTCTAAGCAAGAAGAAAACTCGAATGTGCTAATGACATCGGTTGGGTGGGGGAGGGGGAAGGGGGGGGGGAGAGATCTGAGATGTCGCGAAATATCGAAGCTTGAAAAGCCGGCTTTCGAGACTTTTGGATATAATTTGTTCAAATGACATTCTGCCCGTCTTTTCCGATATTTTTTCTATTATCAGATTTATTTCAATACGATAAAGACTATCTACTAATATCAAGATAAAATGTTAATGTTGAAAATACTAAATTCTGAAAGCGAAGCCATTGATTATTCCGATTAATATTACACGTCCGACACATTGATGTTGAGTTTTTTTTAATGAAATTTAAGCGCTGTCACTCTAGACTCGTCGAAGCGCCATTGAGATTTCCTTCGTTAGTGGCGACATACCCTGTGTGGTGTGGCCGACCTTGCAGTCTAAGAAAAACAATGAGAAGTAGTAGCGTGTATGCCGGGCGATGCGTGTGCGGTCGCGTGCTATTTCGAGTCACAAATGTTTCGCGCGCGGATCGTTGCGCCTGCCGGCGTAGGTGGCGCACAATTTATCCGAAATAATTACCGCGGCGATACCGGAACGCCCGCACGCGTATTTAGGACGCAAGTTGCCGGGGTTCTATTTCGAGGCGCGGATGTTTCGACTTTAATTAATCGGCCGCTTTTGTAATGTAAGTGGCGACGCCGCACATTCGAAATAACCGCATGGGACGTAACGTAAGGCGGGCTCGATCGCGCAACCGGTTCTACTGTTATAAATCACGCGCCGTGTGATACTAATTGACAAGAAGCAATTGTTAAACTTTCCGACATTCGCCGGCGTCAGAAATCATCTCCGGTCTATAGCGATAGTTTAGCTTGTAAATGTGTGGTACAGAGAACGGTATATCTCTTACGGGATCTCTTTTATTTTACGATCGTATCGTCGTAGTCATTATGACGCATCATATTACAGTTTATTAGAGTTCTACATAACTGAATTTAATTAAACTTCCTCATATGAATAAACTTTAGAAAGGAAATGTCACGTTCCACGTCACTTTTGGCAATTTTTACTTAATTTTTAACGTTCAGTATTTTAATACCGCTCCGTTCATTTATTACAGTTTATTATATATCTCATTTCATACATTTTTGGATATTGGACCCACACGTGCCATTTTATTCTTTGCTCTTTCATAAATTCTTTAATATTTTATCTCTTACTGAATATTAAATATGTAGCTTGAAATCACGTTCACTGCGACTTCGCGCGATTGTTTCTGAAATTCAGCGCGGAGGAAAACGTCAGCTATTTTCGGATGGTAACGGCTCGCATGTAGAATCCGGCTCATAGATAACTTCCTGTCGTAGCATATGGTTCATCGTGAACGACACATATAGATTTCACACGGTTCGCTGTTTCAACGAGAAATAGTAATGATAATTTCAACAAACTGCCGCTTTGCTAATCCCGGATCTCGATTACATCGGTCGACCCACTTTAACTCGAACTTGCCTCGCTGCGAATACCTCATTTATTTTAGTGATTATCCGCCAATTAAGTGTAGATTGCGGCAGGTAGGCGGACAATCCGCAATAATTATCGCGTCAACTCGCACGGAATACAAGCTTAGCGCCGCGAGCACCGGATATTTCGAGCCGCACATACGCTCCGCCTTTAGACGTGAACTCATTGATAATATTTTTTAGAGAAAGCGCATTGTACATCTGTAATATAATACGTACGAAAGTCAAACGCTAATGATATCTGTTATGTATTATTGCACTTAAAACAGTGTCAGCCCATTTGGATGTCGACGATGCTTGCGTCATGTTAACGTAAGCTTCTATAAATGTCGGTTTTATGTTACTAACTGCTGCCAAATTTCAATCGTTAAGGAAAATTCGTACAACCTATAAATTATCTCGGTTTAAAAAATTTTTTAAATTGACGGTACCAAAAAACTTTAAGAACGTCAAATTGTTCTCAAAAAATATTATATTTATTGCGCTTAAAAGATTTCTTCTTAATATAATCAATCTTGTTGCATAAAGTGCACATGCATACGCGAATAATCGAGTTTGATCTATAAAGACAGCCGTCGACAAAGCCAAAATTTCAGCTGTAAGTGCATCTCGCTTACTTACAAATGACGAGATAAGCTTACTAATATCAAGTAGTGTCTGCGCGGCAAATTTGAGTAGATAAAGAAAGTGCTGCGTCCGGCTGGCGGTCGTGTTTCTACGCGTCGATTCTCCGCGACTACGCTTGACAATAATAATATTATTCTTAATTGTGACTGCGATACTCGTCGTTAACATCTACATTCGCGCGCTCGCGAGGTCTAACTCATTTCAATTCGCGCGCACGGACGTCAATGCGTTTATTGAAAATAAATACGCGACGCGCCGCCGCGCCTCTCATTACAAAATCCGAAGACGAAACCGAGCCTTAAGTGCCGGGGACCTTTCGCCCCGGTGATTACCGCCGACGATGGTATCGCGTGAAAGGTGTCTTTGCACTCACGGCGTTTTCCACGGCGACCGGCCGTAGTAGTCACGTGCTGAAGGGAGACGGACAAGCGCACGCGGCGTGCGCGCGCGCGTCTCGGCGCAGGAGGGAAAAGAATACCGGGACCGTACACCTCATCTTTAAATAGCGGTGGACGTCGCGCGAGCACGGCGAAATCCATTTCCAAGTAGCCACGGACGTTTTAGAGAGGCGGACCACCCACGACGACGCCACGCGCTTTCCGGCTCTTTCCCCGATGTTCTTCCGCGAATTAAAATTCTGCTTCCTATCGCTAATGTCATCGATTTTACAAACGACGTGCCTCACGTTTCGCGCATTTCTGTTAACCTTTTCACACTGACACGGAATTTCCGTACGTAATTCTTTTCTTTTTTATTACGTAATAACGACGTTTATATAGAAAGAAAATTTTTTAAGTATATAAAGAATGTTTGGAAAATTACACTTTTGGTATTTTAGATATTTCTGAAATTTGAGCACTGGTTTAGAAATCTGATTAGTAAATTTGGCGCGAAGCTTCTCCGAAGTTTGACGAAAAATTTTATAAATTGCATTGTTTTATTTTTTGTATGAATTGTAGGGCGCGAGTAAGTAATTAATGACCTTCCCTTCCACTTTGCTAGTTTCTCGGACGATCAATAGCAACTGTACAAAGTTCCACTGTGCAGCTATGTCAATTAGATTGTTTGCCTATGCATCGTATTATATGGATCGGGATTCTTGACGTCATTGAATCGCTTGTTTTATAAACACACACTATGCGACTACTATGTTAAATGTTAGCTGGAAGTAATCTTTTAACGAAGTCTGCACGCTAATGATCGCAAACAGATATGTGCGAAAATATAAAACGCGAGATATTTAGACAAGAGATGTCCATGTGAGCAATGCTCAAACAACACAAGTCCCTCTAATCAATTACGAACTATCGTGTCTTCGGACATTAAATGTAATAGAATATTATATAAAGCGCTTCGATGTAATTCTGTACGAAGTAGAACAACCGACGTGAAGCATCAATACAGTAAAATGGAAACAATTATGTAATTCAACCAAAACTAGCTCGTGCCAAACTTACTAATTGCCTGTATAAATGACACAAGGCACAACTGTGCTATTGCCACGCTATTTCGTGAGGCCATTAAATGAGCAGTAAAATTACGGTAACGAGTGTCTTTTTTATATGTAGAAGCTATTTTTTATCTTCTCCTACGTGGATTCGTTAAAATTTCAAATCTAAGCTTTAGTTATTCATCAATCACGATCGCGCGCAGCGGGATCAATTACGCAGCGAGAGGCGCGAGCAGATGCCGCTTCTCTCTCTTTCTCTCCCGCGAATTTCGAGAGTATCGTTACTTCTGACGTCACCGCGGCGTTTAATGAGCGGCTACCAGAGAGTAGTTCTCCCCACATCCTCCCTACCCGCGCGGGGATCACGACCAGAGGGAGACGGAGCGAACAGCGATGTTGGTGGAGGGGGCGTAAGGAGAGTGAGAAAGACAGATAGGAAGGGGAGAGAGGTAGTATCGTGTCGGACGCTGGACGAGGCGCACGCTCGATGCGAGGCAGCGCGTGCTTTCATGCGTGCGAAGAACGGAGCAAGCGGTACCGGGACCACGGACAATCCTGGATGTCCACGACGTCCTGGTCGTAGGCATCGCCGCGGCAATCTGTTCCCGCGGGGACTGTCCTGGACCAGTTCGGAAAGTGGTTACGGACGTTGGTGTCCCGCCGTTGCTGTTGCCACCGCCGCCGCCGCCGCCGCCGCCGCCGCCGCCGCCGCCGCCACCGCGGCCGCTGCCGACCACGCGGCACACACACGCACTCATACACGTACGAAAATCGCGTAAGTGCGACAAAGAGGAGTTGCTATCGAGCGCAGCCGAGCGCCCACGAGGATCCGCGATCGTAACTCGAGGCGTCCTGGCGCGCAGCCGATTGGTCGACGGCCCGAGAAAGTGGTCACCTCCGACGAGGGTTCGAACCGGGCCGCCACGTGAGTCGAGTGCAATATCGCGAGACAGAATCGCGCGCGCGAATTTTCGACCTCTCGAAGGATTTATGACTTTTCGCGCCCGAGAGGCGTAAATTGACGTTCTAGTGGAAGCGTTTCGAGTAATAGCGGCTGTTTTCAGTGGTCGGACCGGCCGGAAGTGTCGTTTGGTACCGCGGTACCAAATACGCGCGAACTTGAAGAACGCAATGAGGTCATCCGACGAAACTTTAAGGTGATGGAAAATGCGCTGCTTGTCGCATTTTACAACTCGCACGGAAGATCACGCTATTTTGGAATAGTGCGAACGCTTTGCTTCCGACAATGTTCGTTGTGGAAGAAAGAAACTACATTGGGGAGGATCTCGCGCCATTTCCATTTTGAAATGGAACTGATAGAAGCCGCGTGATTGGGAGGAACACTCGTGAGAACGTATCGTCAAAACTCACAAGACTTCGATTGCTCGCCGAGTCACGTTCGTAATAGAGAAGCGGTGTTGTGTCTTTAAAGAACTTGATACACCGATTGGTCTTGAGAATCATTAAAAGTCATCTTGCGAGTATTCTTGCATTTTGAAATACGAGAACCCGTTTTTGTACTTCTTCGCGCTTCGCTGTACTAAGGCTTAGCGTATCTGTGTATTATTCACGTATAAAAGTATTTAGTAATAAGAGATCGATTAACCAGTTGGCGCTCTCGAGTCGAGTTTGACATTTGACGGAGCGCGCAAGTGCAACGCCGATGCTCCGACTTTGCCATCGATTTACTTAATTTCTGGCACAGTTTGCGAAGACTGACACGTTGACGTTGTCGCGCTCGCCACGTGAGTGATCGATCGCGACCTAGGGCAACGTTGCGCACGCCGAACGCCTGAAGAAGCGCGCGCGTGGCCACGCTCTTTGACTCACCCGGAAACGAGTTGCCGGTGAGAATAAAGGATCACTTTGACAACAGTAACCGAAGTGCGAAGGATGGGGATAAATTAAATTTCGGAGAACACCCGCGTTTTCTTCGTGAGCGAGTTCCGATTCCACGTTTCCACGATCGCCGATACTCGTCGAGACAATAATCGCGCCTAAACGCATTTTTCGCCGAGTTTACGAAATCGGGCCGACGAGAAGTTGTGTTCATCTACGCAGAAGTTGCGCGGTGAAACTCATCGAATGTAACGTGTGATTATATCATTAACTTCGGTTATCGGCTTGACGTGAGCGTGGAAACGTTTTGTCAGTAGTTATTATCGAGCACATCCGGAACGAACATTATTTCATAAGGATTTCGCAACAGTCGCGAGCTATTGACACGAGACGCATGTTCTGGTTTAGCGCACGAAATTTTCCGAACGCTGAAAATTTCGCGTGTTGGAAAAAGGACGCAAAAGTTGAATTGTAAACGCGTTTTATTCGACATTAATCAACAAGGACGGATAATTTGTTAAGGACCGCGCAGTGACTTGGTGAATTTATCAGTGAGAAACGGAGGGAGAAGGAAAATACAAAAAGTAGTGCGTATTCCTACAAAATAACGAAAAACTCTAGGCCGCGGGAAAAGTGTACCGGGCATTTAAAGACTGTCGCAACTTGGATCAAGCTGGATTCATGTCTCAGGTATATCACTTCTTCAGCTTTTGCTATTTTCGCAAAACTCTCGAAATCAGCAATAATAGATAGAATGTGAATTATGTATAGATAATTGATTTTTTACTATTTAATAATTCCAATAACTTGATAGTTTAATAATATTAACAATTTAATATTTAATTTAATTCCAATTTTTGTAAATTTGGAATTTAATCGTGTTTATTTTTTATATTTTAAGCACTTTTAATGATTAATGAAAATGAGTAGATATAGAATACAAAATTTAAAAGACATAATGTCAAGTGCTAGCACCAAAATGTATTACAAATTATAAAAGCTTTTTAAAATATTTGGACATTTAATTGAATAATACAATAAAAACTCATCAAAATTAATCACAAGAATTACTGAAAAATGTGCTTTGCTGAAAGAAGTATTTGCTTTCCGTTGCTTTTCATTGATCGCGACGCTATAATTAGGACTATATCGCATAAAACACCGTTTACTTCTCGAAGCGGAGGAATAAACAATTTTAAACGCAGCAGTTTCATCGGCGCAGACATTGCTGAAATTAGCGCTTGTAGCAACAGTTATTAATGACTTGCATGGTAGATGCATGTCATGAACGCGATAATTATACAATTAACATGAAAATAAATTAATGTAAGAAAGACGTAGCATATTTTATACTTTTTAACCAACAGAAAAGTTTTCTCATAATAAAATAACAGTTATCTTAACGCGTAGATATCCTTCCTTCAAAATATTATATAAATAATGATTTTATTCGAACAGTATACATGTAGATAAACTTTTTTTATCGCTGCTGATTCTACTTGTCATTCTCTACTCTGAGTGAATAGCGCATTCCGTGTCGACATTAGTGGCACTCAGCGGCTGCCAGAAACATCGGTGCACTAACTACCGTAAAGACCAGCTAGCGTAATTCGCGCATAATGTAGAAATAAACAACAATAAATCATCGTATTATACAACGGCAATGCATGATAAACAAAAAATCAAGCTGCAACTTATCCTTATCGTCGTCACTTTTTACAAATTATTTTTAACATAAAATTAAAAATTTATTAAAGTTCTTATAAAATTTATCAAATTAAAGAAAGTTGATTCTATTTGAAGACGTAACGAAATACCGTTGAAAACAGACTAATTTTGGCTTCTGAAATATTTTTTGAATTGATAGTAGATTTTCTAAATTTTTCCAAATAATAATTTTTCCTTATTTTAGAAAACACCGAATCTGGTAACGCTGCATGCTCTCGCGTGAACGTCGCGTTCTAATCGTTGTCGGCCAGTAAGCGAGCGAGTTAATGACAGACCGGAAGCGGCGTTTAATTAAAGTACGCACGTCCGGCAGAGACGTTTTCACGAGGCTCGATTGCTTGTCCGGCCGTTGCGTAATTCCGAACGAAGAGAAGAACAATAAATTATCGCGGCATGCACTAATAAACCTGAGTTTTTGAATATATGACTTGTATCCTGCAAAATCGACTGTTCTTCATCGAACCGTTGACACTGCGGTAATGATGTTATATAATTGGTGCTAATAGTGCACTTGCGCGTTTATTTGTACAACAATATAATTGTCGCGGATGCTTCTGCAAGCAGGATATAATCGTTACGTACAATTATGTATAATTTTAAAGCTTAAAGTTATATCAATCTTGACAATGACAAACGATTTATCAAATAATTAGAGATAATAAAAATTTAATGCTCTTTCAATGCTGTATATTTTAAGTTAAATATTAATTTATACGCAGTATGCTTTATTGATATATTAAATACGTTGATTTATATCTCGAGTTAAATATTTTCAAACTTGCGAGATCATAATATCTCAAAGACAAAGAAAAAGTTGGAAATGTAATTATAAAAGTTCCACGGTAAATCACAACGAGTCTTCGTTTTATGTCGATTGCGTCAAATGAATATGTTCGGCCTTTACGCTCCATCGACACTTACGTTTAGAAACAGCTCGACTCAGAATTGCCGCTTCACTGCCGATTGCGTCTAAGAACGACACGAATTTACTACTGAAAAATTAATTGGTACTGCCAACGCGACTCATTTTGATCGCGTCGCCGTGAATAACGGGACTGGAATTTTTCATGGAGCGAAACGTGAGCAATCGTTCTCAGTGTTAATAACTTCTGAGACTGCCGGTCGGTGCTTAACTTATTACTAATTAATTCACGTCGATTTTTGAGACCGAAACTTATTTATAAATTTGACGAATGGACATTACGAACATTGCATTAGCGTTCAATCTACTTCTCATTATTTTATGCAATTATTTTTATTACGCAAAAAATTATGTACTGATAAATACCACAACGGTTTTTTTTGCATAGTAATTATGTCCGTGCATATCTTGGTAATTTCTTGATTATAGCGTTTTTTACGAAATGTGATGCAGAATATTTTCAGGTCTTTTATTTCTTTAGTTAAACGAATAAAAAAAGATCATATGTTCGTTTTTGAGGTCAGATGAATTTACGTAGTTAATAACTAAAGATATAGGCGCACATATTTGTCAAATTAATTGATGAGATTTTGTAAAAATAAAATCGATTTCAAGTTGCAGATATATTTTACTGAAATGTTTGGAAAGATTCTGACACGCATAGGAAATACTTGCTAACATATAATTATGTAAAGTTTCTTGTTATTCTATCAACAAAAGAATATACGATATTAATTTATAAATACTTGTATAATAATTCGCAGTGAAATTTTTTTATATATAACTCCGAATACATCATTCACATTCTTACACAGAATTTTGTATAAAATTTAACACGAATTTGAAATAGCGTCCTCATTTTTTGCAGCAGCTCTTAAAGAATTGCGGCGCGAGAGGTGTAGAATCGAGCGATCGAAAGTCACGAGAGCGATCATTGTTTGAAGAAACGTGATGCCAGACAATCCGGTAAAAACCAATGAACCCAGTCGGCCGAAAGTCACGGCGGGGAGAAAGCGACTTCGACGGATCATAATAAACGGACGGGCCGCGTCGGTGTCGGGTGTAAATGATTTTATTGCGAAGTGTGTTACGGGGAAAATTAACGATCCAGCAATTATTTCGTCGTTCGGCTTTTTATGCACGGCCAGTTCCTGTGGGAAAGAAGCGCACGCGCTCTTTTTGGCGGAGGTAGCACGCACGGAAGTACACCGCGCCTCGTGATCGTTACAATGTAACCGATTCGTAGAAATCGTTGTCCAATTAACGCAGCCGGATCGCTGGTAACATCACGGAAGGGCAATTTCACCGAGTCTGGTTTTAGAAAATTCTCTCATTTGCTTCCCGCGCTTCGCTCTGCCATCGTACAGTATTTCCGTTGCGCTCATAATACTAATAAAATAACATTCTTCTTGTTTTCTTTCATATCGGTATGTTACAAACGAACGTAAGGTTACATCAATATGTAAAAAAAGTGAAAGAATTTTAGTTCACTGCAATTTTATTGTATGCAATTTAATCATGACAATTTCAATACGAACATGCATTATATTAGATTGTTTAAATATCGTTGATTGTAAATGCAGTATAGTTTGCACGAATGCTGATTGCGTGCACAGGTTGAAGCATTTTTTTCAGAGTGATATTTAACATTACAGCCATTAATAATCTTAACACGCGGCCGCTATTACAATAAAAACCGGCGCGCTTAGTTAAGTAAGCTGATCGGATATGTAAATTCATCTTGAGAAGTTACGCATTACACATTGTGGAAATCAATGGAAATCAATGCGTGCAACACGGCACATCGTTTTGCACTGAAAGCAAGTGGTCTTTGTAACATGTAAGGCAATTTCATGTAATTACATTCTTATATATAATTCGTATTTTTTTCCGTTGAGTTACTCGGCTGATCAACAGTTCTCACGTTCTCATTATGTCTCTCATTTATGTTTTGTCTGAAACTTACTAAAGACATAATTTTTCTAATTTGCTTATCTAGCCTTAATTACAAGCATAATTAGATTGCATTTAATTGATATTGGAGATGAAGTTTGCAAATTCTACGGATAATTAATTTTATTAAATCGAGAATCGAAAAATTGTGCTCTGAGCATAGAGCTTAATGAAAATTTTCTAATACATACTAGAAGGATTCGAGGGAAATGTGTACGTTTCTCAAGATTAATAGTTTATTGCCAGTTCTCAGTCGTCATGCGGATCATTTTTATCAGTAAAACACAGTAAATTTCCAACTTGTTGGCAACAAGTGTCTCAGCGTGTTACACGGCTCGCACGGCTTAAGTTTCAGCCGCGGACGTACCGAATTTCCGCCACACCTGTTGCGAAACGTCACGGATTTGCCAGCGAGCAGTACTTTTCGCACAGTATACCCCGGTTCGGTTTAATTTTGGGAATTATTATGTTCCACGCGCGCGCACGGATCGCGTCCCAGCCTCATCGTCTCTATTTTTAAATATCTTCGCCACATTCTCGGCTCTCAAGTTCCAGTTCTCGCGATTTTCCTTGTTTCTTTTTTTGTGTCATCGAAATTAATCGCGGCCGATGGATCGACGCTTGCGGCGGATTACCGACTTTTTATTTTTATCACGAAAATTGTTTCTTGGCAGAAATAAATTTTACGGCTTGAGTAGGATAATTGGAAAGTTAACGCTTTGGAAGATGAATCATGTGTCCATTTTTAATTATCTGTGACAATGTTTAATAATGAGTTTCGATTATTCACATAAAATAATTTAAAGATACATGCATTGTCGCATTAATTATTGTGGCGAGTTTTATGAAAAATTGATGCACGAAATTGTGCAACAATGACGAAAAGTGTGTAAAAATATGCACGAACACTGAAATAACGATTCGAAAGATCTGCAATTTTGAACGCGCGATGTCGTCCGCTTATTTCTGTCCGGATTTCAAACAAATTCGCGATTTGTATGATTTTTGTATGAATTTACGATGCATAGCTTTCTATTATATTTCTTCGATGATCGGCGTCCTTCGGGCGACGCAGTGCAATGACGCA